AGATAAGCGGGCTAACGCGTTAGCAAATCATATGTTGCTCGGTAACCTGGTAAACTAGAAGATTACGGATTCGAGCCCAGGTGCTCGGCGAATTTAACTGTGGTATTAACTCCCTTCCTATCCCTGAGAAACCACCGAAAAAGCGAGGAAGGGATAGGAATAAATTGAATTTGTTTTATAAGTAGTTCAATGTTTTTCAATGTTCAAATTTTTGGCTTACTGCATCCTAGATTATCTAATCACTTGTCTTCTGAGTTGTACAGAATACTTTCGTGGAACGGGTAGTTTTTCGGTTTTAATTTTAATTAAATATTACATTCCAGTCAAAAGTATTTATGTTTATTCCTAATTATGATATTTACAACTGTATTAATAAATAAAATACACTTAGTAAATTTGATAACACAAAATAATAACATGAAATCACTTGTAGAACTTAAAAAAAATGTATTTACTATAGGAGATCTCGAGGTCATCTTCTTTTCGGACGGCTCCGAGGGTTATCAGGGATAAAAGAGGAAGCAAGGTTAGAGACGAGAGGATTTGGATGGTTCTGAAGTTTATTATGGAAGGATTGGTATCTGGATTGCGCCAATCGGAAACATAAGGAACATTAATATCGTTATGGATTATTTTATTGGTACAAAGTATGAGCATTAAGGAATTTCCGAAGGATTTTGGATTGTACGGATCAGTCAAAAGTTCAGATAAAAATTTCGAATTGAATTTCAATCACATATAATAAGTTTAGGTCTTAATAATATGAAAAAAAAGAAGAATTAAAAAAAGAATTCTTAAGGAGTCGGAGGTATTCTAACGGAAATTGAAGCGTTAAAGCTAACAAGCCAGGACGATTGGAAACGGTTCCGAAAATTATCTCTCAAACAATCTGGTCTAGATGTTGGTGTTATTATAATTATTATAAAGACTGATACCAGGAGACAGCTGTAGGAGAGCAGCGCTATCTATCATAGGACAGCGACCCGGCCAGCAATTATTGGGATCCGATGACGGGCGATAGGATCGGCGGCGTGCGAGCGGCCCGGCCGGCACGGTCTGGTACCATCGATCTCCTCTCCGGCCCGGCTCTCGCTATCTAGGGGTATCTATCTCTTATCTAGAGGGGGGGGGGAGGAGCATTCTGGATAATTAGCAGGACCGGGACGAAAAGACCAAACTCCGGCTAACAAGGTCAAATATGAAAATTAAGGTTGATCCATAATTAGTAGAATCAGTTCCAGTAAATCGGATGGATTAGGAAATGATATAAATGACGAAGGAATTATAGTCCATGGTACAGGGTACTTTTTATATATTTACCTAATAACGAAATAGTCTACTTAACAGAAAATCTAACCTCTCAACTGAAAACAAACTATTAATATACAAGACCATACTGAAACCCATCTGGTCTGTGGGGGACAACTAAGTTTTCGAAAATCAAACGCATCCAATTCTTCCCGTCCGAAGTCCTTCGTACATTAGTAAATGCTCCTTAATATGTAACAAACAAAACTCTACATCATGATCTTAACAACCCTCATGTCCTTGACGTTATTCCATCCCGTTTCTCTAATTTTCATAAAAACCTAATCCATCATCCTAATCCCTTAGCACAATCCTTATCCAGCTCTAACCTTCCCTACAATCCTCCTCGAAGGTTAAAAAGACAGTGGCCTCGAGATCTTTTGTAAACACGTCATTGGAGTCCTGGCAATGGCCAGTTTCTCCACTCAAGTCATGAGCGTATGTGGCTTTAGCGCCATTTCTCAGTCTCCACTGGATCTCCATCTCACTGATGAGGCTGAGAGAGAAGCGCTGTGATCTCTTAGAGTCTTGACTTATCTTCCACACGTGGGGAAGTGGGCCCCACTTGGAGCTCCCTCAGCTGACTGTAAATATTGTAAATAAGCATGAATGTTTTATTTATTTATTTTTTTGTTTTGTTTTATATCATATTTTATTTCATCTGTTTTAGTAAGGTTTCTTTTTCTTATTTTTGTTATAATTTCTATTATTTTTGTAATTGTATATATTGTATGAATGAGTTTCTTATATCTCAAATACCCTTGATTGAAGCAAAATGTATTTTTTCTAAATAAAAAAAAAAAAAAAAAATTAACGAAATACCAAATGCCTAGTTCATCAAATCTGCTAGATGCGCTGCAGCTCAGACGCAAATGGCTTAAAATGTTAGAAAAAAAATAATAACGTAATATTTTCCTACTGATTTGTTGAATTTCAAAACAGAAATAATTTTTTTTTTTATTAAGAAAGTAAACTGTATATAAATATGTAATGATCGGCTTTTACAGAACACTTTTTATCAAATTATTAACATCCGTCTGAAATTATGTGAATGGCTAGATATCATCGTAACATAAAAAATACGTATTTAATAAAATTCTAGAAAATAGAGAATTTTCAATCTGAATATCGATAAACTTTGTCTATTTAATTAGGTACCAAAAACTCATAAACAGCTATTGGTTTTCCATTTGAATCATAACATAATTTGATTAAAAACTCAAGAAGAAAAGTTGGCCTGCAAAATCTATTAGAACATTTGATGCCCCCAACATGTCAAATTAAAGAGGTTGTATAAGAAAAACGGTTCAATGTTTTTGTAGGCCACCTTTTTTCTCGATTCAAATGGAAAGCAATTGGGTATTAATCTGTTGTCTAGTATTTCACTAATAAATTAATTAATCTAATGATAAAACGCCATGTTTCTAAAAGTTTAGTAAATAAAAAAGTTCTATGCTACTATTGACGTTAAAGAAAAAAAATGGATCTTTTTTATTCCTCTAAAATCATAGTTTCTCATTGGAGCGAAGCTCATCCAAGGGCGAGGATGTACATCCTAAATCCGCTTCAAAACATCCAAAACTATACCTATAAGTTTATCTCGTTTTACGAAACGAGATTTCCTTTTGCTTCGATTTTAGCTTATATTTATTAAGAAGAACTGTTGGACTCTTTTTTCCCACCGAAATTTGTTTATAATATTAATAATCGAGATGGAAACAGAGTATAGTAAAAAAAAAAAATATATATATCAGAATTTAATAATTATTTCCCCAATAGATATTACCTGACGGTTCCAAAGTGAAAATAAAATACCGCTTCGGAATCTAAACGGAACAATAAAGACAATAAATTATCGAAAACCTATATCTAGAAGATATATTTACAATATGCTAGTAAATTGTACCACTACAACCTTAGTTTACTCTCCTAGTGCTACTGGAACCATCCTGTCTTCTGCCTTAGTCTTGGGTTCAGTAATTTTTAAGGATATAGTGTAATAGGCCAACGGTTGTGCTAGCTGTTAGATTGACCGAGATCATTCTCTAATGCCAGGATTTCCTTCTTAATTAATTACATAATTAAGAGTTCCCACGTTATAGAGGCTGGATGTGCCCCTGAAAAGCCCCCTTTTTCTAGATCCAATCCATGGCAGATGTAACAGACTAATGAATTATCTGCCGAAGTAACAATGCAAACAATTAATTTAACAATATAAGAAAATTTACAACCCTAATCCACCAAAAACAGCAGAAAAAAATAGTTGATTTTCTTCTAATAAATGAAAACCCACACAGACACATCAACAAACACAAACACTTTCACCATCTGTATAGCCACCAATAACAACAATCAAGTGTGTAGTTGAAAAACAAATTGATGACATTCATGAAAAACAAATGAGAGGCCTGGAACCACCATTTTGTAAAACATGCTACACATCACTTACACTGAAACACTTTGTAACAACTTGCAGACTATACTCTGACACCAGAACAAAACATAATATACCTTCAAACATATCTGACGCACTTTCAGATGACGAAGAAAAGATACAAAAACTATTTGAATTTATATAAGACATTAAGTTTGTACACCTAATTTGATTACATCTAAAGCCGCTAATGACCCGCTAGGGTAGATGCGGAATGTAACAATAAATAAATAAAATAAATAAAAAACAAATTGCTCAAAAATAGGAAGTAATTTAATTTATTATTTACATTAAGTAGTGAATGATCTTTTTTTTTGTAACTAGTTTGTTTTTAAATGCCTCTTTTTTAAAAGTCAGGGCATTCTAATGCTTTTCTATTTCTAATGCCAAAAGTGATCCGGCTGGGATAGAAGCGTTGGGATCTCTTGGAGCCCTGCTTTTCACATGAGAGTGACAAAGTTCAGAGTTCCATATTCTGAATATAAATATTATATATACGAATGAATGTGTAACAAGTATTTTTGTTGTTTCTTTGTTATTATTTTTTATATGATTTTTTTCTTTTTATTATCTTTTAATGTATATATTTTTACTTACATGTTTTTTTTATTATTTTATTTTTTCTCAATATTGTATTTTAATTTCTTTATCAATTCTATAAATATCGTATCGTATAGCACGTAGGCCATACGAGCCTTTCAATTAACAGAATGATTTGAACTACATTTTTTATTATTAAATTTAGTGATATTTCAAGTGCGAAAATTTATACCTTTATTCACATTTCTTTATTTCAACAATGCAATTATCTACTCTGGAATCAACTTCTAATAAAATATAAAATATATATATTTAAAATATAAATATATAAATTTTCCAACTAGAAATATCATTAAAATGACTTTACTCAAAAGTCATTCTGTCAACTGAAAGGCTTATATATCCAATTCCCTTGATTGTGGCAGATTTTATTATTATTATTCAAATAACAAAAGGACTAATTACAAATTCAATAACACATTGGCTGATTATCACATATATAACAGATGCTAATGAAAATGTAAAGAGAAAAAAAAATTACTTTTGACTTGGGAGTTAGCTACTTTATTCCACCACAAAACGGATTTTTTAAAAAAGTAGAATTAGTCCTGAACTTTCATCGATGAAAAGAAATACAAATACACAAGAATTGTTACGCCGATCGCCTTTATTAGTTACGATATGGTTGGATAAGGATATCCATCCTGAGTTGCTGAAGATGTGCCCAAGCAACTCGGTGAAGATGAGAGCGACAGCTAACAGGCAGTGCTCAATGCCGGCTCCTCTCCAGCCGCGATGTTATCGGCAGCCCGCAGCGTGCAGCCGCACCACATGCCTATCCCATATTGTTATTTTATCACCAGCTCTCATGTGGGTGGCAATCGTCATAGTTCTTGCGACACCTCCTTATCGGTTTCTGCATCTTTGTCCCCAGCTCTCACTGCCCTTTTAAATTCCATTTTACTCCTAGTATATCTTGACGAGCAGGGTAGAGTCAACGACTGAGGAACTGAAATGAGGCTTTGCCTATTAATTCCAGGTCGCGGAATCGAGAACGGAAGTGGTAAAAATGTATTTTTGTAATATAACTCAGCCTCTATCTACTTTTTAAGTTATTGGTTTAAGAAAGAAAATCTGTCGGTTGAGCGTGAATTCTAGAATTTTTAAGTACGTGATGCCTACCTTACTCCAAAAAACAACAACTGGACGACTGGTACTACGCATAAATACAACAACTTCCAAATTTGGTCCCTTGGCAGATACAGTTCAGTTTTGCTCATTTAGGTGCGTCTGTCTACTGGGGGGTACAAGATAATTGCGGGCAATGACATCTCGAAGGAAATTGGTTGGGAAGGAGTTATTGCTAATCGATGCTACTTGGGGTTAGGGAGGCATAATAATCAATTATCTGTCAAAGAAAACCAAACACAAGACGTTGATCAGACCAGTTCTGACATATGGCTTGGATTCATGAGCAATGATATCTAAGTTTATATACCTTCAATAGAAGAATTTTGTACTTACATACCGGAGAATTGGTCGAAAAAAACAGGAATAATATAGAAATATATGACCTCCTTGTTTAACTTGATATAGTTAACCGTATAATGATATGACGATTGCGATGGTTGTTGCATCTCAACGTAGCACGGATATTGGAGGATGAATGATCTCAGAGGAATAATGAGTGAGGCCAATCATAGCACCATACAAATTACATAAATAGATAGACGGCCTAATGGAGGATCCTGAGGTTCAGAGAAGCAACCGGCTTGCAGTCTGACGGAAGTTATTGAAATATACTGAAGATCACATAAGACCTGTCTTCGATAAAGAATGGACCGTGCTACTTGAGGAAGACGGGCGAATCTAGATAGATAAACCACGATAACATGCAGCTGCAGTATTCAGGACGATTACTGGTCATGATCATAAAAAAAAAAATTATATGAAATAGGTTTAGGTGAATCCACTATATGTAATCTCTGCGACAACGACTATGGATGCGGCACACATATAATCATGTTCTGGTTTGTCGGAAATACATACTAGGTTTATCAAATTCAGACAATTACTAGGCTGCTAGAAGACTCATGCCCGAAGACTCATAGGATAAGAGAGAATTACAATTTATTGTAATGCTGCTCAACTGTGTTGAGTTGCTAACTGACATAGCCTACTAGTTTATCTGTTCTATAATATGTAATAATTCAGCTTGATATACTTCGTATATAAAAATCTCATATGTTGTTTCTTTTCTTTTCTCATCCTCATTTTTCTTTTAATTCCAGAATAATTCCAGATTTAATATACGCGATGGTGCAGGATTTCCAGTGAGTCCAAAATAAAGGACTCCGCCGTACTCTGTATCTTATTCTTTTCAACAGTTAGCTAAAATTAATAGTTTGAGTTGTCCCTCTGCTTCCAAACCAAGTCCTCGTACCGGAAAATTGCTCTCCTCCAAATTGCTCTCTATATTTCTCTTGCAGGTACGAAATGCATTATTTATATATTTCCTCCTTCTCAATTTGTATTTTAAGATCTTTCTGCTCATCGTTTGTTTCATATCGAATCGCAGGATCAGCTGTCTAAGAATCTTGTTGAGCCTTCCGTATCTATACTATAAAATTCTAGGAAGCATCTATAATTTTTCGTCTCCAGGAATTTGGATATCCAATAATTTATATTATTGTGCCGGCAGGTGACGAGGTGCATGTTATTTGGACATTTTCCCAATATATGAGCTGGGGTTTCTTACTCTTTCACGTTTGCGGCAGACGGGTTCAACATCTCTATTCATCTGGCCTCCGGTCTCTAGTACTCCTAGAAGAGGAGCATAGTTGACATGTGTCCACTCTGAGCTTGTGAGAATTTTCTGTTATTCATAAATAGATAAAAGTATTGGTCGAATCCGGCCTAGACTTGTTGAAAATTATTTCATGTCAGATCGACTGATTGAATTTAGACCTGCTCACTGTGGCTAAAAAAAACTAATAATTTATAGGCTTGTCTGGTCCACTTGGAGAACATAATGAGATTAAACACAAAAAGCAAACAAAATATTTAAACTTTAAAACTTTCCTTAATTTTCTTCTTCAGTATTACATAGGCGAATTTTTAAAATACAAACTAAAGGCGGTTTCCATCAATGTGGAAGGACGAGGGTAAAATTCAACGGCTAATAAAGAAACGCTTGAGAAGAAGAACGAGAAGGAATAAATATTATCTGTGGCTGATTGATCGATAAAAAACCAATCAGAGGCTGTTATGCAAATCGATTTCTGTTTGTTAGGCCGCTATCTTTCAGCCTGAGCGACGTGTAGTCCTACTAACCGGTAACTGTTACTGCTCCTGAGGAACCTTACATAAATCGATAGTAACATAATCGAAACACGTAAAGCCCGCCGTTGGATGATCCATTAGGAAGAGGAGCGATTAATTGGCTCCCTATAATGGCTTCATTGTGTAACCACCATTTAATAATATCTCATAGCCACGAATAAATTTGAATAATCCTCTCGCTTTGGCTCACGTCCTTGCCAACTTATGTTTTTTTTATTATTTTATTTATTTATTAATTTTTTTTTATCATACTGCTTAAGATTTGATCTTAATTAAATTTCTGAAGGCCTTTGACAAGAATCTATTGCATTAGTATCGGCGATCTGATACAGTGATTGCTATATGGTCCAGGACCATTGAGCTCCGATAGTTCTCTATAATTTGCCTCTCTGTACCCTATAATTTGACAATTAATCAATATAAGATCCATAAGTGGCGCCAGCATTTATCAATGTCTTCCAATCCTACAATTAATGAGCATCTGTTCAATTCCACATTTACTCAAGAAAGATGTGATAAAAAAAATCAAATCAAAAGTAAAATAATATTTTTTTTTTCACTGAAAAATTTTGAATAAATTTAATAAAATATTAATACATATAACGAGAAGTTAGGGACTATTACTGTTATTTTCATAACAAAATAAAAGAGTTGATCGAAGGTGATTGGTGAAGGATTTTTAAAAAACCCATGAAACACCAATATTGAGTTTGAAGTTCTTTGAGCGAATTTTTCAACAAATTTATCATAACATCCTAAAATAACAAACAATATTTAATTAATTTTAGAGGAATTTAGAGATGAAATTATTTATATTATTGAAAACATAGAAACGTAGTTATAGTCCTCTATCTCTCAGTTTCTTTTAGAACCTTTAGAACCGCGAGAGTACTTCTATAAAGAGGGTAATGTAGAGCAATGTAAATTATATAATTATTATTTAAAAGTTAACTAAATTCTATATATAGTAAAAAATAAAAAAGAAATTTAGAGATTCGACCATTATTAGCAAATAAATAGCCTATTTTAATTTGTAAACATGTTGGTTTATAAAATTATTGATTTTTCAATTAATGACCAATATATTATAGGAATTTTTCACAGGGGCCAACTAGTTTTATTTAATATTTCTGTAATGATTAATAAACTGTATTTTAATTAAAATTATCAACGTTTCTTCCTAGCAATAGCACCCTCATACTATTTTTAAATTATTCTTTCAAGTTGCCAATCTCTAGTTTTCATGTTTTTTTATTATAACATTGCCTTCAACTTTCAGACGTAAAATCTGGAAATTGAAGTCAAAATCTGGAATAAAATCCAAAATCCATATGTACTTTTTTTTTCAAAAGTTAAGGTCTGCTATCGCATGTATACACTCTTAATCATAGGCGGAGACTTTAGATTTTGATTGAGGAGGTAACAAAAAAAAAATAATGAAAAATAAAATTAAAAAAAAAAATAAAAAATGGTGGGGGTTATAATTATGTGTAAATGAACAAATACAATATTGAGTATTTAAAATTAATTTGTTTATATGTTTGTATAGCTGTAAGGATTTATTTTTGTTTACTTATTACATATACGGGAGAGGGGTAGCTGAGGCTTCCAATGATATAGGTCCCAGGTTCGGATACCGGCTCATGGCAGAAACATTATTTATTGTGTTTCATTGACCATGGGGCGATCCTCCTGGGCACATCCAGCCTCTATAAATTAGGTATCCTTAATTAAAATAACTAATTAAGGGGAAAACCTGGCGGTTGAGTGTGATCTCGGTCAAATTACCTCCTTGGACAACCATAGACCAAGAAACAGTGCTTTCCTTAAATAGTACTGGTTGTAGTGGTTTTGTACTTATTATATGTACTTGAAAATATCTAAAAAAATACACAGCTGAATATATAACTTTTTTTTAAAATATTAAACACAGGAAGGAAGACAGTCTTATAACATTGGTTCATTTCTAGAAATTTTTCAGCTCAAAATGAATAATGTAAAAAAAAAAGACAAGTACCTTTGATTTCTTAGTATGTGCTACTTCAAATAAAAATACATTTTTCATTGTCAAACTAGGTTATCGCGGAAAATGTGATAAGAATATCACGTAAAAATTGAGGGGTAATTGAATCATTAAATCCTATAATATGTTGATAAATATTATTATCTTTGAATATAAAGACAATTTAAATAGAAGTAATATTTAATTATCAATAAAATAGTTACACCCTAGCCTAGCAAGCTAGTCAAATATTCTTAATCGATTCCACAATAGTTTACACGATTTATTTATGAAGCTTGTTTATTAATGATATCAATTTTTTTTTTTTTTGCCAGAAATTATTGAGGGATATTCTCGTTCCATCAACATATTTATTAAAAGGAGAAGGTGATTTCCTCCTGAAGTCTGCCCTTATGTTCTAATCATTCATCCAGTATAAATTTTTGTTTATAAAAATATTCAGTTTCAGACAGTTTCGATAAATTAATAGAGAAGAGAGAAAAAGAAGAAAAATAAGTCGTTTTTATTTATCAAAATTACATAACAATTATAAAACAATACAAAATAATATTTTTGGATTTAAAACCTAAAATCAGACGTGCTACAAG